TTTTATCAATAGACTTTTTAAATTCACATCAAAACAATCCAACTTTCAAAAACACTTTCAATCACTAAACTAGAAATGAAGTGGATGTATGATGTATCATGTATGTTACAACTTTTAGCAAATTTTATGTTTTGAAAGTTTATATTTTTTATATATATGACAGCATGACAAACTAAGGTGGTGGTGTATATACCGAGAACCAGAGCATGAGCTTGTTGGAAAAATCCAACTTTATATAAATTATACAACAAGTTTGGACGATAGTCTCAAGGTGAATTGTTGGCTCTTTTCCCCTTATTATATGTTACACATGATGAGGAGGGCATTTACGTCTTTTAACCAAGAATTCTTGTTGTTTGACAGTGTGGTTCTGTTGCTGAAACGGTGGCATACGACATTGTTATGGAGGTTGCCATGAAAGTTCAAAACTTCCAACAAAGAAATTTACTTTTGCATGGTTCATGGCAATGGTTGCTCATTGAATTCGCATCATATTATGGTGTTTCTGATGCTTACACAAAGCTAAGGTTTGATATTCTCATCATAATTAAAAAAAAAAAAAAAAAATCTAAATATATGATTTCTAACCTTTTAGAGAAATGTTTTCAGATACCTTTCGTACGTAATGGATGTTGCTACCCCAACAGCTGATTGTGTCTCACTTGTCTATGACTTATTGTTACCAGTTATGATGAAGGGAAATACCAAGAGTGCCCTTAGCCATCAAGAGGTTAGCTTTAAACTTCAAACGTTAAAAAAGAGTAACATACTTTCATTTCTTCTTATTTCAACATTATACTTAAAAAAAATGTCCAATTATAGCAATGTCATCCAAATACAAAGCAAGTTTCATCATTATTCATTATGATTGGGTAGATTTTTCAAAGTATAATGTCCTAATAAGAATAAAATTTGAAAGTACAATTGCAAATTTCTTGCATTTATCCCAATTATTGATATACGGATTGTTTGGCAAAAAAAAGTGATTATGATTATGAGTTTTTAGGCTTTAAAAATCACTTATGCACATCCAAACATCCCCAATATAAATAACTAATGTTGTATACTTTTTGTATTTTAAGGCAAACTTGTTTGGTTTTCATCTTGTGTAAGTCTAATGAGGAATGTTAGTGGATTTTTTTTTATTGATTTTTAAATAACAAAGTCGTTTAATTTACCAGAATAGAATATTAGGAGAGATTGATGAGCAAATAGAGCAGATTCTTGCACTTGTTTTCGAGAACTACAAGTCACTAAATGAGCAATCTCCATCTGGCATTATGGACGTTTTTACCCCTGCCACTGGGGTGGCAGCACCCGTGTTGGAACCTGCTGTGAAACTTTATAAACTTCTTCATGATATATTGTCTCCTGAGGCACAAAATAAACTATATAGCTACTTCCAGGTTTGTTGATTCACATGCTTCTTAACATTTTTCTTTTCATCATAACAATTGTTATGTAAAGTAAACCCTTTGGAGGGTATATTAGGTATCTGACATATAGTTCCATATTTGAGATAAAATTGGTGTGATTGTTAGGCTGCTGCGAAGAAAAGATCTAGAAGACACTTGACTGAAACCGATGAATATGTGAGTGGAGTTGGTGAAGGCAATTTGATGGATTCTGTTGCTATTTCTACAGCTTATAAGAAAATGAAATCTCTTTGTATGAACATAAAGAAGGAGATTTTTACAGACATTGAGATCCAAAATAGCAATATACTTCCAAGGTGCTTTTTCTCTTAACCCTGTTCCTCTTATATCCATATGATCTTGTGAAAAGGGTAAAATTGTCATTTATGACCCTGTTTTGCAGTTTTATAGACCTACCAAATCTTTCAACAGCAATATACAGTGCAGAACTCGCAAGCAGATTAAGAGCCTTTCTTGTTGCATGCCCTCCAACGGCTCCTTCTCTTCATGTTGCAGAGCTTGTAATTGCAACTGCAGATTTCCAGAAGGATCTTGCTTCTTGGAATATCAAGTAATGTTTTCCCAGATTTCATACTTGTTAATTGTCTTGATTTTTCAATTATTAATTCAATCTTTTTTTTTTTTCCAGTCATGTCAAAAATGGAGTTGATGCAAAAGAATTGTTTCATTTGTATATCATGATATGGATTCAAGATAAGCGTATGTCTCTCCTGGAGACATGTAAGATGGATACGGTATGTAACCTTGTTTTTTAAATTTTTAACTTTTTTGGTTTTCCAAATTTTGTAAGTAATTATATCTTTGATATGATTACATAAACCATCTTTTTAAGGTTCTTATATTAAAAGTTTGATACAAAATCAATTACAATTTGAAAATTTACTGATATAGTCCTTGTGAACTCTCGTTAATGTTATTCTACTTAATCATATGAACCTTTTGTACAAAATCTGTAGTTTTTGTTTTTATTATCAAATATTATAAACAAAAACGCAAACTTTTTCGTGAATTTCATCAAAATCATAATTCTTCTAGATCATTGGTGGTAAAATCAGTTTTCATTTATTATATCATATTTTTATTAGTAATTTCAATTTGTATATTTATAATATTCTGTTTTGAGCAAGAGGCTCTTTTATTTTGATACAGAGGGAGCAATCATAAGTTTATATATATATTTCAATTATGTGTTTATGTATTTTGATCATTGAATACTTGTGTTTTGTTTTACAAACTCATACCAATTTGCAAGCTTTGAAATATGTTTATTATAAAAAGTTAAAACTTAAAAGCAACTCCAAACTTGCAGGTGAAATGGTGTGGAGTGAGGACACAACATTCAACAACTCCATTTGTAGATGAGATGTATAATCGTCTTATAGAGACTTTGAATGATTATGAGGTCATTATAAGCCGTTGGCCAGAGTATACCTTTGCTTTGGAGAATGTATGTTTCCATCACAAATTCAATAAGACTGCATTTGTTACATGGGGATAGGAAAATGTTCTAGGGCTATTTCTGATCATAAGGGCATTTATGTCTTTTGCACATACAAGGGACTAAGAGCAAGCCCATGTCCCACCTTTTTTTGGGTGAGACAAAAAGCCATTGACATCTGTCCCAAAGAGATGATGGTGGGACCCACAAAATGGAAAAAGAAAGAAAATTGTGATTTGATATCTTCTAACCGAATCTTCTTTTTTGCTTTGGTCTTTGATGAAATAGGCGATTGCTGACATTGAAAAGGCGATAATTGAAGCCTTAGACAAACAATATGCAGATGTAATTGCACCTTTGAAAGAAAATATGACACCAAAGAAGTTTGGGCTGAAATATGTCCAAAAGCTCACTAAACGAACCACACATCCTTATGTGGTGCCTCCCGAGGTTTGTCTTATTTTTTCTTATCAAGGCATTAACTTTCAAATCTTTTCTTATTTATTAGTACATTGCATTTCAAAAAAGTTATTATCAAGTTATAGCCATGAAAATTGTTTTTTTTTTTTTTTGGTCGATTTCAGCTTGGGATTCTCTTGAACTCTATGAAGAGGATGCTAGATATTTTACGACCTAAAATTGAGCTCCAATTGAAGTCATGGGGTTCATGTTGCATTCCTGATGGGGGAAATGTGGCACCTGGAGAACGTTTAAGTGAAGTCACAGTGATGTTTAGATCAAAATTCCGGAATTATATACAAGCAGTTGCTGAGAAGCTTCTGGAAAATGTGGGTGCTTTTCCTTTATTCACTTCATTTTTAGTTAAATAGACAACATTTCTTACATGGGGTTGGACAAGCTTTCTTGATGATCGAGTTTAAAAAGGGCATTTACGTCTTTTGCACATATGAAAGTCCCTGTCTCACTTTGTTATAGCTTTTTCGGTGGGAATGGGATAAAAAGTTGTCTCATTGATATTAGTCCAATGTATGCCAAATGCAGTACAACCTGTTATGTCAATGTCATAACATCAGTGTCATGTCATGCATAACAAACGTGTTATGGGGACTTAGATAATAAGTTTATTGATTTTATTGGATTTTTGTTGTTCTTGTGAACAGACAAGATTACATAACAGTACAAAACTGAAGAAAATCCTTAAAGATTCCAAGGAAAGTGTGGGGGAATCTGAGATTAGATGCAGAATGCAACCATTAACAGAGCAGCTTACGAATACAATGAATCATCTCTATAACATCTTTGAGACTCATGTTTTCATTGCAACATGTCGAGGGTATTGGGACCGAATGGGACAAGTGAGTTCTAATGGATTGTGAAAAAGAATAAATGAAAAATTAAATCTTTTTTAGTTGTGTTGTATTAATGGTTTCTTTTTGTGTTGTTTCAGGATGTTTTGAGTTTTCTTGAGAACAGGAAAGAGAATCGTTCGTGGTACAAAGGTTCAAGAGTTGCCGTTTCTGTAAGTGGCTTTTCCTTCTCATGAAATTTGTGAATACTAGGGGTAGTTTGGTAATATTCATACACTTTTTGTCTTTTTTTTTTCTTTTATCATGAAATGCAGATTTTGGATGATACATTTGCATCACAAATGCAACAATTGGTGGGAAACACGCTTGAAGAAAAGGATGTTGAACCACCAAGATCCATTGTTGAAGTGAGGTCAATGCTCTGCAAGGATGCTGCTAGCTACAAGAATGATACTTTCTACTATTAGAAAGTTTCTGTTTTGCACATACAGATACAAGAACAAGATGGCTGATGGTGTTGACTTTTGGTCAACCCAGGGCCAATTTTTGTGCGTTTTTGCTACAACTACTCCCCTTTTGTTTATCTCATGTCATGAGCCTGTTAAAATTGGTTATTTATATGTAGTTGACATCAACTGAGTATAGAAAATGATTTCTTGATGTTTACATTACATTATAGCTAATTACAATTAGGATCAAGAGGAAAGATGATTTTTAGCGTTGGATTCGTCATATTCATAATTCTTAACATAATTTAAAGCAATGTGATTCTTCGTTGTTTGTGGGTGGTTTGACTTTATTATATAGCATGGTCTTTGACCAAGGTTGAAATTGACAATCTGTAGTAAACTAAAGCTTTTATTTACTCTTTCGTGTATTAGTTGCCAGCTCATCGGGCGTTCGGAAAAAAAATACATACCGCATAAGAAAATTTTATATTATTGATTCATTGATGAATTTTGAAGCAAACATCTATCAAATTGTTTATTTAAAGAGTAAGGGATCGTTTGATAGTTGCTAACTAGGTTAGAGTTGATTGGGTTAGAAGCTGACTGGGTTAGAAACGTTGACTGAGTTATTTTCTGACTAAAACTTGTTTGATTTTAGACAAAACTGCGAATTTGGTCATTGTGGTTTGTCAAAACCTTTGGATGGGGTTCAAAAAGTTTCTAGCTTGCACCAAAGGTCCAAAATCAAGGTTTTCATGGGTTTTTAGTCCATTCCGTCATTGTCCGTTTGTTTGGAGCCATTAGTGTCATCACGTGCCCTCTATGTGAGGGTATTTTGGTCATTTTAGGTCCTAGCCTCCGTTGCTGCCACTTCAATTAATAAGATTGCAGATTGTACTCACTCTTTCGTCTTCTACTCATACCTCTTGGATTCAAACGCAAAAACCCTAACGATCGTCTGCAAATTGGCTTGTGTTCATGCTTTTGAAAATGTGGGGACTTAGAAATGTTGGAGAGATTGTCAACGTTCAAGAAGTTTATGGTAAGATTCAAACTTTGAAAAAACTCTGTATTTTATGATCAAGCTTCAAACTTTGAAAAACTCTAACAATCGTCTCTTTCTATTTTGAAGATGGTTACCCCAACATATTCTCTATTGAACTTCATCACGGAGGGAGTTTCACAAAGTTTCCAAATATCAGGTATATTAATGGCCAAGTAAGGTACTTTGATGTTGTCGACATTGATGAATTTTCTGTTCATGAACTAGACTTGATGATGAGAGAATTAGGGTATGATGGTACTGAAATCATGTATTACCATTTCCGTTTGCCTAATGAAGGATTTGACTTTGGACTCCGAGCATTAGGTAACGATGATGATGTGCGTAATCTCTCACGGTATGTTACCCATAATAACAAAATGATTAAAGTGTACACAGAGCATGGTCAAACGAACTTGCTTACATATTTTATGTCCCCAACTGGTCCAAGAAGGGTTATAATAGAAGACTTGGATAATCAGGGTCCTCTTAGACCATCATCACCTGTAGTTGCTCATGAAGTGGTAACTCCAATCCAAATTGATGTTGGTGAGGGTGATTTAGGGTTAGCATTAACCTTATACAAATCAGCAACACCTGAATTTAGTAGGTCTAAAGGTTGGAAACATAGTAAAGGGGCATCGTCTACCAGTAGAAATCTTAACTTGGATTGGGAAGGTGGTGAAAAAACAATGGCAAGTGGTGAAGTTGATAAAGGTAAGGGTGTAGAAGGATTTGCAGATGAATTTGTTGTAGTTGATGCAGAAAAAGAGTTAAACAAACAGATTGATATGAATGAAGAACTTGACATGAACAAATCCAATGGTGAGGGTGTAGAAGGATTTGCAGATGAGGGGTATAGAGTTGTCATGGATAATGATCCTCAAGGAGTCAATGAATTTTCAACTAACATCAACATAGATGATGAGTTAATGACAAACTTTCAACCTTTCAAAGGATTTTTCGAAGGGTTTGAAGACCAAGATAGCATCCCATTTAATGGAGGATTTCAATCTAAATATTGATACAGAAGCATAGTTCAATGGATGTCAAAGTTTGGGTGGTCAAAGAAATGAAGATAGTGATGAACAAGAGGATTTGGAGGTAATTGATAATGACGAGTGAGATTCACTAAGTGATGACTCAGGGGACAACAAGAAAAGAAGAGAAATAATCAAAGAGCTGGGGAAACAAACCTTATGTTCTGCTGGTGAGGTGCACAATGTAGCTTTTCATATTGGGCAGAAATATAAAGCCAAGAAAGAGTTGAAAGATAAAATTGACCTGCATGCTTTAGAGACACGGAGGAATATCTCATTCACAAAAAACGACAAGAGTAGATTAACAGCTGTTTGTGATGGAACTGTAGTTTTAAATGCAAGTAGGGTAAGTGGACCTACCTCTGGGAAAAAGGTAAAGGGTAAAGATGTAAACTCAAATAAAGTTAAATGCACATGGAAACTTCATGCGTCTAGGTCAAGTGGACAGGACTATTGGTTTATTAAGACCTATAATCAAAAACACATCTGCCTCCAAACACGAAAAATCAGATCTTGCACAACAACATTTCTTTCCAAACGTATTATGGATCAGATTGAAGTTAATCCTGGACTGCCTGTTCGTGCCTTACAAGAGCAACTCCAATCAACTTATGGAGTTAGTATTTCAGAAGAGAAAGCATTTAGGGCAAAAGCATTAGCCACCAAAAATGTTGCAGGGGATTACGTAAAGCAATATGCAGCTTTGAGAGACTATGTACTAGAGCTACAAAAGACAAATGAAGGTACAACTGTAAAGATTGATGTGGTTTCTGAACCTGTGGTTTCATCCCCAACCAGGCAGTTCAGAAGGATATATGTGTGTTTAGGTCCTTTGAAGAAAGGATTTAAGGCAGGTTTGAGAGAATTTTTAGGCTTAGATGGAGCCTTCATGAAGGGACCTTTCCTAGGTCAAATACTAAGTGCAGTTGGTGTTGATTCCAACAATGGAACCTACCCATTGGCATATGTTGTTGTTGAAAGTGAAAACACTTCAAGTTGGAAATGGTTTCTTCAGTGTCTTGCAGAAGATCTTGACTTGTATTCAAATTCCAACTTCACCTTTATCAGTGATAGACAGAAGGTAGTATAGTTACATTTAATATTGTATACTAGGTTCATTACAGACTAATGCTAATTACTTATTTTGTTTTGGTGAAAACAGGGTCTTCTACCAGCCATAGAACAATTGTTCCCTAATGCAGAACACAGGTTCTGTATTAGACACATATACCAGAACATGAGGATTAGATTTAAGACTACAGAGTACAAGGAGTATTTTTGGAGGTGTGCTACAGCCACCACCATACCAGAGTTTGAAGCTGTAATGGTAGAGCTAAGGAATTATGACATAGAAGCATATCAGTGGCTCTTGAAAATCCCTCCACATCATTGGGCTAGAAGTCATTTTTCAGGTATTTTCTCAATTTTTTGTCTTATTTTTTTATTATAGTATAGATATACACGAACTATTGTTTTGTTAATGAACTAGTAGGAAGGGCAATTTCAGACATGTTATTAAATAACCTTTGTGAAGTGTTCAATAGCAAACTTGTTAAAGGGAGAGAGAAACCCATTATTAGCTGTTTGGAGTTCATCAGAGAGTACCTTATAAAGAGAGTATGCAATGTGATGAAGGTGTTAAACAAGTGTCAAGGTCCATTAACTCCAACTGGTACTAGGATTTTGGAAGCAAACACAACACTAGCTAGTAAGTATCATGCACGATGGAATGGGGGACAAAAGTATCAAATTAAAGGTCCATGGAATGATCAACATGTGGTGGACATGGAAAAAAGGGAGTGTAGTTGTAGAAAGTGGGAGCTTACTGGAATTCCTTGCAAGCATGCAATTGCAAGCCTAAATGAAATGGCAGAAAATAATGAAAAGGTGGGAGAACTCTACACCTATGTGCATAAGGTGTATTGGCTTGATACATGGAAAGAGATGTACTCCTTCAAGGTGGAGCCTATCAAAGGTAGAGCCATGTGGCCTAAGAGTGACTACCCAACAACTCTTGTGCCTCCACCACACAACAAAGCTATAGGCAGGCCAAAAAAGAAAAGAAGGATTACAGCAGAGGAAATGATTGAAATCCAACAACGTAAGAGGCGAGCAAATAGTCAAAGTCAAAATGATAATGAAACTCAATCACTGAGCAGGAAGTTTTTGAGTGTGACATGTAGTAAGTGTAAGCAAAAGGGTCACAATGCCAGGACCTGCAAGGCCAAAGATGGGAATTGATGTTTAAGTACTTTTTATGTTTGTGAAGACTTGTTAATACAATTTAGTTGGTACTTTGTTGCCTTTTTTTGGTTCCATTTTGATAATATACTTTGATGCCCTTTTATGGAACAATGTACTCCAATGTTTTGATAATGTACTTTAATTCCCTTTGTTGGTAATGATTGTGTTTTGGCATTTATCTGTTATGGTCCCCTTTTGGTAATGTTGTTTGTTATTTGTTTATGTTGTACTGGGAAATCATGAAGATATTATGGCAATGTACTTAATGTATGCATGTAAAACCATTACAATTGCATATTCAAGCGTAGAGAAAAACCATTACACTTGCATATCATGTCAAGATCAAACCTTTATAATTTCATATTCATAAAAGGATAAAACCATTACACTTCCCATTATCATAAAAGCATTACATATACAATGATCCAAAAGACAACACTTACAACATATATAAACCCTAATTAAACCTTCTAGCACCAAAAGACAACATTTTTAAGTGGTTATTACCAGTTGTACTGTGAAATCATGAAGATGTTATGGAAATGTACTTAATGTATGCATGTAAAACCATTACAATTGCATATTCAAGCGTAGAGAAAAACCATTACACTTGCATATCATGTCAAGATCAAACCTTTATAATTTCATATTCATAAAAGGATAAAACCATTACACTTCCCATTGTCATAAAAGCATTACATATACAATGATCCAAAAGACAACACTTACAACATATATAAACCCTAATCAAACCTTCTAGCACCAAAAGACAACATTTTTAAGTGGTTATTACCAGTTGTACTGTGAAATCATGAAGATGTTATGGCAATGTACTTAATGTATGCATGTAAAACCATTACAATTGCATATTCAAGCGTAGAGAAAAACCATTACACTTGCATATCATGTCAAGATCAAACCTTTATAATTTCATATTCATAAAAGGATAAAACCATTACACTTCCCATTGTCATAAAAGCATTAGATATACAATGATCCAAAATACAACACTTACAACATATATAAACCCCAATCAAACCTTCTAGCACCAAAAGACAACATTTTTAAGTGGTTATTACCAACAAAAAAATCCTAACCTCTAATTCCTATTTCTAAAATAGCACAAACAACAGAAACAAAACCCACGAGACAAGCAAACACTTCTTCAGCTGACCCACTTCAACCTCATACCTATTCATTGTTCTCAACAGTCCTGGTATGATAACAATTAATCTTTGACACATAGGGGGATCGAACCACCCCACAAATCCACATTTGGATCCCTACAAGAATACATTAAACATTAAAGTAGAAGAGTTATTGCATAACTACCGAAATATCATAACCTAATATGAGTTTGCTTACCATTTTAGGGCATGCATAGAAACGACGACCAGGGTTTCGTGAGGTCCATGAGGTTCGCACAACAGCAACGTTCCCACAGAAGCAGAGCACCATTTGTGAATCTCGTAGCAGTAGAAGTAGATGAGAGACGAAGAAGAAGAATCCCTTTGAGAGACGAAGAAGAAGCCCTTTTTGCTGCTTCTTTGTAAATAAAAATGAAGAAGAAGAAGGGGATTACGTATGAGTATGTATATAAAGGAGAAATATGATATTATTTAAAATAAGGACCTAAAATGACCAAAATGCCCTCACATGGAGGGCATGTGATGGTACTAACGGCTCCAAACAAACGGACAATGACGGAATGGACTAAAAACCCATGAAAACCTTGATTTTGGACCTTTGGTGCAAGCTGAAAACTTTTTGGACCCCATCAAAAGGTTTTAACAAACCACAAGGACCAAATTCGCAGTTTTGTCTTGATTTTAAATCTAAGTGCAAAATGATTATATTACCTTCAAACATTTACTTTTTTTATAATAATTCATTTATTAGTAAAAGATAAAATATATTAGAATAAATTACAAAGATCATGTTATTAGATGATGTGTTATTAAGAAAATATAACAATTAAACAATTTAATCAATTTGATTCGTAAAAATATGAAACTGAGATCATTAAGTAATCAATATTTCACATCTCAATCCATTAAAGCCAAACCTAATTTCTATATAGATAGTCTAAAATATAAAAAGGTTTATAATCAGTAAAGTGTTAAGCTAAAGAAAAAGCACTTGAAAAAACTAGGGTCTTTAGTTTTGCTGTACATTGAAATATCGATTTCAAGCCTATGAAGAAATCGATTTCAAATAATCAATTTTAGGGGGTGTTTGGATTAGATTTTTAGTTTATTGCTTATAGCTTATTTGTGGTGGGAATAAGCAATAAGCATGGAGAGGAATACGTATTAAAGTTAGCTTATTTAGCCTAATAAACTGAATTTTATCCAAACACTTAAATTAGTTTATTGTGGGAATAAGCAATAAGCCATAAACATTATTATTATTATTATTATTATTATTATTATTATTATTATTATTTTTTTTTTTTTCATCCGCACACCCCTTACAGAGACAAGCATTGCTAACCTGTCGATTAGGTCAAAACATGAAAAATCATACCAATTCTGGAGGAGGAGCGATATAGGAGATTGAAGGAGCATCGAGGGTAAAGCGTGTCTTTTTCTTCATTCCGTCCGAGTCAGTCATGTTTTTCATTTGGACTGAATCAGCACAAATGTAGTCCAAGATTGTAGTAGAAAAACAAACGCACAGACCGGAGATTCTGACCGAGTCCAAGCATTCAACCGGAGATTTCCGTCCACTCTCCGCCTTCTACAGCTTCTAGGCCTTCCTTCTAAAAATACGAAATTTCCGCTTCAGAATCGAAAATATTCAACAAACCAACTGGTAAGTGCTTACTTCATCTTTTATTTACATATAATTTGTGGTCTTTTTATTGTCGGTGTGCAAACTGCAAAGCCCCCCTTTTTTTTTATTATCAGCAGTAATACAAATCTCATGAAATTTGAAGCGAGAGCACAGATGAGAGTGCATACACATCAACACACAAGCTGTGATAAATTAAGATTTTTGTCCTTTTGGTGATTGCTGTGAGATATCATATGATGTTTCTCGTGCATTAGCATGAAAAGTAAAGTATTTGAATAAGATGGTGTTAGGATTTAGGATCTGTGACTATGAAGGTAGTTTGATCTTTTTGTTTAGCATTGATAATGAATGATATATGGGATTGAAAGTCAAGTTGTGAGAAACTTGTATGTATCTGAATTAATTAATCTGTAGATCTGATACATGCATCAAATTTCATGTTTTGGGACCATAACATGCTCTGTTTCTATTGCTGACTTGGAGGTTGAAATTTGTTTTAATAGTGATAGTTTTGCTCTCCTATAAATATTTGCAGTCACTTTCACTGTGGATATGGCTAAGATTAGTGAGAAAATAACACAACTAAGATGGTTTTATGGATCTTCTGTGACCACAACCTTTACAGGAAAGTCTCTGCATAAAACCACCATCAAGTTCAAGACTCCATTACTCCCCTTTCCAAGAACTCAAGTGTTGTATCGTTGTTGCAGATCAATCATGAAGACAGATACAACAACATTACCTATCATAGTCAAGGAAACCATCGATCCAACTGATAAAGAAAAACAGATATTCGATCGATTGCTTGAAGTTCTTGTTCATTTCAATCTTGACACACAGCTTCGTGTTGCAGGAGGATGGGTTCGCGATAAGCTTCTAGGAAAAGATTGTTATGACATCGATATTGCTCTTGATAACATGTTAGGAAAAGAGTTTTGTGAAAAGGTAAACGAGTATTTAGTATCCACAGGTGAAGAATCACAAGGAATTGGTGTTATTCAAAGCAATCCGGATCAATCCAAGCATTTGGAAACAGCAAGAATGCGATTATTCGATGTCTGGATCGATTTCGTCAACTTAAGATCCGAAGATTACACTGAAAACAGCAGAATTCCAACCATGCAATTCGGTTCTCCAGAACAAGATGCATATAGAAGGGATCTTACAATCAACAGCTTGTTTTACAACATCAATACATGTTCAGTTGAAGATTTTACAAAAAGAGGGTTGAATGATTTGAAATCTGGGAAAATCGTGACACCATTGCCACCCAAAGAGACGTTCTTGGATGATCCTTTGAGGGTTCTTAGAGCAATTCGTTTTAGTGCAAGGTTTGAATTTGAAATGGATGAAGAATTAAAAGTTGCAGCTTCAGACAATGATGTGAAATCTGCCATTGGTGGGAAAATTAGCAGAGAAAGAATCGGGCATGAGATCGATCTTATGGTATCCGGGAATCAACCAGATAAAGCAATAACTTACATATCAGAATTAGGTTTGTTTTGGGTGGTTTTCACATTACCTGAAAATTGTAAACCTTCAATTTCACAAGAAGATGATAGAATTTGTGTTGAGTATATGAATTTGGGAATGAGACAGTTTCTTGAAGTGGGGTGTAGTTTTACAAATGAACAGAGAAGGATTTATTTATATGCATCGTTGTTTCTTCCACTTAGGAAGATAGTTTACATAGACAACAAAAAGAAAACATTTCCAATTGTGAATTTCATTTTCAAAAACTCTTTAAAGTTAAAAGTTAGTGATGCGGATGATGTCATGAGGCTACATAATGGAGTTGAGAAGCTTTTGTGTTTGATCCCTTTCGTGTTATCCGGTGAAGATATGAATAAAACTGATTTGGAAATTGATTTGATTGAAGTTCCTGTGAAATTGAAACCAAGGATCTTGTTGGGTTTGGTTTTGAGGGAAATGAAAGATTTGTGGAGGGTTGCTTTGATGCTTTCGAGTATTGTGGGGGGAGAAGTGGAGAAAAGGAAGGAAGTGTTTATGGAGGTTGAAAGAGAGATATTGAAATTAGGTTTGGAGAAAGTGTGGGAAGTCAAACCTTTGGTCAACGGGAAGGATATAATGAAACATTTGGAGCTTGAAAAAGGGGGCCCGGTTGTTAGTGAATGGCAGCGGAAGCTTCTACAATGGCAGCTTGCTTATCCTTCTGGAAGCTTAGAGGAATGTGTTGATTGGATGAAGAGGGAAATGGAGAAGAAGCGTGCTAGAACATGAAGAGGAAGAGGAGAATAATCTTAATCTATTTCTAGGTGTTTTTATTATTATTACTACTATTTTTCTAGTAAGTAGGTTGCTATTTACATTTTTATCAAGATATTGGTATATCTTAGAATCTAAATATGGGGAACAGTTTTTTGATGTACAAGAAGTAAATTTTGATGCTGGTGATATCGGTTTGCATATTCTGAAATATAAAAACAGAGAAAACGTGATGCTGTTTTTTCTTGTTGCTGTGTTTTGTTTAGGGAAAATTGTAGGAAATATCAACATACTTTGCTCATGGGCAATATACTATGATTATTTTTTATACATAATAGTAAGTTGCTTACAGTTTTTTACCTAATAGTAAGTTGCTCACAGATTTATTTCAAAGAATTCTAACTAAATAATGTTCATTATGGTAGATCAGGCAGTTTTATTTACGCATATTAAATTTGATAACAATTTCATAAATTTAAACAGAAGTATTCTGAACATAATTCAAACAAAAGATTACCCATTTGATCAAAACTAATTTGCAACTTCCGGGTCTAGATTGAAAATCAAGAGTTTGAAGTGTATACAATTAAAATCCAGTTTTCGTCTAGATAATATTTGAACTATGACAAAATTATAAAAAAGAGCAAGTATATGATCCTTCGTGACATGTACAACAACGATTTTTATATTTAATTTTTGTAAGGTTCAGTGTTAAATACTATGATGAACAAAATTATAATTTGTTTTTCAAAATGAATATATATATATTTAATAAATATATCAAAGAAAATGACGTATTATGATGTGTTTGGGTAGCTAAACTTATATACCCTTAAGGGTATATTCACTTTTCCATATATATATATATATATATATATATATATATATATATATATATATATATATATATATATATATATATATATATATATATATATATTAAAAGAAAAACAAAATATCTATAATATGTTAAATTATAATTTGCTTTTAACTTTTAAGTATAAAAATATGAGAAAATTACAAAAATAGTCTAATCATTTAACTACTTTGTGGAAAATAGCCGAAAAAAATTCAAATTACAAAAATAACCACCAAAATAACAGATTGATTCAGTCCATTTGTGATTTTGCATCCATCTGTTATTTCCTATTTTTCAGGGGTATAAAGCGTTTTTTTTTTTTTTTTTTTTTCATTTTTGGCGTCCATCTGTTATTTCCCATTTGTGTTGGCGATGTTTTAAACAAATTTTCTAAAGATTTTTATTAGAGAGGTTTTAAACAAATTTGCTAAAATCGTAGATGAGCTTAATCCATCTGTGATTTTCATGGCTATATTTGTAATTTGAGGGTTTTTTTTTTTTTTTTTTGACAATTTTCCACAAAATAATTAAAAGATTGAGCTATATTTGTAATTTTCTTATTTTCTCAAAAAAATATTCAAAATTGATATTAAAACTTGTTGTACAGTTAAGTTCCTAAAACTTTGGCTGCAAATGTGCAATAGGTAAAAAAAAAAAAAAAAAAAAAAGAAAGAAACACCTTAGTAAATTGTAACCCTCTGGTCTACAGTAAGTTAGTAACTCCCGCTTCACTTTCGCCCATCTTCGGTCCTCTTTTCGGAGAATCTCAATCTAAAGATTACAGGTGCATTAATCTTTTTGTCGATATTCATATCTAATTGATTCTTTTTACAGATTTTACTCATAAGCATTCGATTGAGTAATCTAGTTGCTTAATCTCACTCGGTTTTTGCACAATTAAGGTTTCATGCTGTTATTTTTGTTGTTTGTATGTTTAGGTCGAATTTGGTTGCTTTTCCATGATAAATGTTATGTTGCTAGTGGATTCATATGATTCTTTTTTAATCTTCATCACAACAAAATTGAAAAATAGAAAAAGACAAATTTAATCTAACTTTTTAAAGTTTTTATAAGAAATAGCAAAAAAAAAAATTAGAAATGACCCATATAGCCAACAAATGTCTAATGCATAACGTTATGTATTAGACACTATTTTGAAAAGCAAAGATAAGTGGGATTGTACAAGTACTTGTGTATAGATATTTATACAATCTCACTCTAGAAGAGGAAATCATACATGAAATCGTAAATGGGGTCTGCGATTTCATCATGCCAAAATTGCAAAACCAAATTTCCTTTTGTGCTTTTGATGAAATCGTTGTCCAAATGACGAAACCCAGCCCATAAAGACCCAACTGCAATTTCAATGACTATATGGGTCACTTTTTAATTTTTTTTTGGCTATTTCTTGGAAAATATTTAGGGAATTTGATTAGATTTGTCTTTTTCTCACAACAAAATCGTGCACACTAGTTATTGATTTTGTTGAAAATCCTAATCCACTAGCTAAAACAAATTATTTTGTTTTAGCCCTCTATCATCATCGAGATTTTTTTTTTGGCCATTTCATCATTTAATCAATGTATTTTTGCAGCCATGTTCATATCTAACTTAGTGAGAAAGTAACTCAATTAAGTTGGTTTAATGGATCTTCTTTGACCACATCCTTTACAGGGTAGTTGATGCAGGTCAATCATGAAGACAAATGGAACATTACCTGTCATAGTGAAGGAAACCATTGATCTAAACGATAAAGAAAAACAGATATTCGATCGATTGCATAAAGTTATTGCTCATTTCAATCTTGAAACAAAGCTTCGTGTTGTAGGTGGATGGGTACGCGATAAACTTTTAGGAAAAGAATGTTACGATATCGATATTGCTCTTGATAACATGTTAGGAAGAGAGTTCTGTGAAAAGATAAACGAGTATTTAGTCTCCACATGTGAAGAAACACAAGGATTTGATGTTATTCAAAGCAATCCGGATAAATCCAAGCATTTGGAAACAACAAGAATGAGCTTATTCCATGTCTGGATTGATTTCGTGCACTTGAGATCCGAAGATTGCAATTTACAATTCGGTTCACCAAAAGAAGATGCGTATAGAAGGGATCTTACAATCAACACCTTGTTTTACAACATCAATACATGTTTAGTTGAAGATTTCACAAAAAGAGGGTTGGATGATTTGAAATTTGGGAAAATCGTGACACCATTGCCACCAAAAGTGACGTTTTTGGATTATCCATTGAGGGTTCTTAGAGCAATTCGTTTTAGTACAAGGTTTGGTTTTGAAATGGTGGAAGAGTTAAAAGTTGCAGCTTTAGACAATGATGTGAAATCCGCAATTTTGGGTAAAGTTAGTAAAGAACGAATGGCCTTTGAGATTGATCTTATGGTAAACGGGAATCAACCTACTAAAGCATTAACTTACATTTATGATTTAGGGTTGTTTTCGATTGTCTTCACACCACCTACAAATCACAAGCCTTTAATTTTAGAAGAACATGAGAAAAGTTGTGTTGAGTATATGGATTTGGCATGGAGACAATTTCATGAAGTGGGATGTAATTTTATAGATAAACAAAGGAGACTTTATTTGTATGCGTCTTTGTTTCTTCCAATTAGGAACACTGTTTATGTAGATAACAAAGACAAAATGGTATACGTTGTGAATTATATATTAAAAAATTCTTTAAAGTTTGTTGGCTTAAAGACATAGCAATATTCAATGGTTTTTGCCCGACGTTTGTTAGCTTAAAGAGGCGGTGATGGAATATATGCAGTGGTGGATAAATAAATAAAAAATAAAGAAAAATATTTAATTTCTCTAATAATAAATATAGGGATTTTATGTTTACTCGTAGCACAAATATTTCATTTTGCTTTTAAAATTTCATAAGGAGAAATCAAACAAATGATTTGAAAATAATTCCTTAATCAGAATTTTTCGAAATTAATAGCATTCCCTCTAACGTCAATCACAGTCATCCTGATTTGATTTCCCCAACTAACAAAACCCTCCATTTTCTAGGGTTTATCTCCGAAAAGGGTTTATGCAATTTGTTTCTCTCCACGCTTAATTACACTCGTATATTCAGAAACAAATGACGATTTTAAGTTGATTCATTATCAGAATCCTTTTCCGAATTCATAGCATTCACTCTCACACCAATCACAATAATCCGTGATTTGATTTTCCCAACCAACAAACCCCCGGTTTATACGGTTTATCTCTCAAAAAAAAAAGAAGGGTTTATGCAAATTTCTTTCTCTACGCTTACTTCCACTCGTATTCCTTTGAGCGAGGGGAATTCGTGCAAACTTCATAGTCTCAGTCGTAGAAATCATCAATGGGTGACGAAATGATGTCGGAGAAAAGAGGAGGGTCGATCAGTGAAGAAGACCTATCTGCTGTCGCCGAAAGGTTTCTCTCCTTGATCATCACTTTCTGGATTTCGTTATATTCAAAAAGCACGAATTCCCCCGGAAATTTTTCTTGTCGCGTTTGTATATGATAATGAACAAACGTTCTTGAGTTGTTTCATTGATTTGAACATTTAACTAATTTCGGAATTTTTGAACTGAATTGTTTATTCTCTTGAGAATACACACAGAGTCTACTACATGGATTACGTCAATTTCATTGCTTATACCATTCTTAGCATCTTCATATGTTCCATTGTAATTGAATAAATTCTCATTTCTATTTGGTGATTGTTGTGAAATTGAAGGTACAAGACTACAACAGTGCTAAATTTGCTTCAGGAAGTGGGTCAAGTTCAGGATGTAATGATAGATTGGTATGCAATGGTGAAGCATACTAAAACTGGTATAACAAACCCTAGGGAATATCAAATGTTATGGCGCCATTTAGCCTATCGTGAGCCATTAATTGAAGAGTTTGAAGATGATTTTAAGCCATTAGTAAGTCTATCATTTTTGCAAACTGTTCTTTTGAAATTCTGTATTCTACTAGAAAATCCAAGTATGATGGTTCAAAAAAAGTTTGTGATTTTTGTATTGTTACTATTAAATATTAATCAAATCAGGTAGCCAAAAACTCAAATTTATCGAATCTTGTTATTACAAAACTTTTAAATTCATTAAAAATACCAATCACAGGATGATGATAGTGATCTAGAATATGAACTTGAAGCTTTCCCAACTGTTAGCAACGATGCTTCAGCAGAGGCTGCAGCTTATGTGAAGGTAAAAACAAAATCAAAAAATCGAATTTTATCAATTAGGACCAAACAAACACCCCCTAAGGGTAAATTCGTAAATAACCAAACCCATAAATTTTATTACTCTTTTTTTCTGTCCCCCTTACAAAAAAGTTACGCATTTTTTCAGGTACTCATTGCTTCTGATTCATCAAGTGAGTCATGTATAGAAAAAGGGTTGGTGATGGAAGCTCCATTGATGATAAACATACCAAAAGACAAATCTACCCCTCCTCCATCATCAGATGAGAGTACACAACTTGCTAGTTCAACGGGTGGTGTTAATATAACAGTTCCGGTTTTTGTTCCAACACAAGTGGTCCCACCAGTTTTGTCTGGTGAAACATTGGATACTACAAACACGTGTCAAAACAGCAACTTCCCATCTAGGAGGAAAAGAAAACCATGGTCTGCACAAGAGGATAGATCACTGTTTGATGCTGTTCAGAGATGTGGTGAAGGAAACTGGGCAAACATTTCAAAAGGAGATTTTAGGGGTGAAAGAACTGCTTCACAGCTATCTCAGGTTAATTATATATCTTTAACTTATGGTTTTATGCTAAAGTTTATAAAGAGTTCTATTAATTATTCTTATATTGATGAAATAATTGTTATTACCAGAGGTGGAGCATTATTAAGAAGCGTCATACAAACTCAAATGTGAAAACGGGCCCACAGCTTTCGGAGGTACAGCTGGCAGCTCGACATGCGCTTAACATGGCTCTTGATAAGCCTGGTAATAACAATTTAACAATTTTCTTTTGTAGATGAGGGTAAATTTGTAAAATGTAACGACTTAATAACTGTCACCTTCTAAAAATATCCTGACTTTAGTTTTTCTAATGTGAACAGGGGGGACAACTTTCGGCAATAAACCGGTGCAACCCACCATGGCGGAGCCACCATCTGCCGCCACACTCCGACAAAATCAGTCCCAAGCGGATCCAAAAAGATTGTTCCCGAGACCGCTCGCCTCCGGGCCGGACGCGGTCAAAGCCGCCGCGGTTGCCGCCGGGGCCCGCATCGCCACCCAATCGGCCGCCGCTGTAATCTTGAAGGCGCAGTTGAAGAGTGCCATCCATATCAACAAAATGGGTAATGGAACCGGTAGACCGCCTGTTGCCCGCATGGGGGGTCCACGTGAGCGGTATTCTAGCATATCGCCACATGGACCACGACCTAACCTGGGCTCGGGTCATGGTAATTCAAATGTTGGACCGGTGGTCCAGACCACGGGTCCAAATGGTGGGCTTCCAGTTAAACCTTCTTGCCCACCTTCACCGGTTGAATTGGTTAAAGAAGAGCAAGTTGCGGTTTCCGAGAGCCTACAAAAGATGAATCTTGAATCTGATTTCAAAGATCAAGAAGAGAAAGTCGTCCCCCATGTTTGTCCTAGCAGTAGGTAGAAGATCAATGTCAAAGTTTACTTTTTCTTTTTTCTTTTTTCTTTTGTTAGGAGCTTTTTTGAGCAAATATTAGGGTTTTTTTTTTTTTTTTTTTTTGTCAATATTCTGATTCCTTTGTTATTTGAATGTATGCTAATGGAAAAAAGTTGTTAGTTGCAACAGATGTTATTCAATGATGAATTGCTTTTATACTGACAAACATTTTAGAACGTGATTAATTTTTCTTTGTAGTTACAAAAAGCGGTTTTAGGGGGACCAAAAGTTTTGTTAGCATTTTAGTTTTTAAATTATCAAAATAAAATATAAAAAAAACTACCAGACCATTTAATCGAAAAGTTGTAATATTTTATACATTTTTGGAATTTTTTGGCGAACAACAAAAAGTCAATAAGTCAAACCACACCAAGACACTCACATGCTTTCCTTCTCTACTTGAGACGCTCCTTGATAATTCCCTTCTACCGTCGCCGCCGCACAACGGAATCAATGGTGTTCGCTACTTCATCTTTTCGGTCGACCTCCTCTGCTACACTCTCTATCCGAAGCCCTAAATTATCGTCAACAATCGATCATCGTCTAATCTTCTCCGTCTCATTCGATTCTCTAAACAAGCGACGTTCGGCGGCGATGGAAGTACTGTGCTGCGCATCACAACCGAAGAACATGGCAGCGCCGCCAAAAGAAGCGAAGCTATGGGGAGGAAGGTTCGAGGAAGGAGTTACGGATGCAGTCGAGAGGTTTACGGAATCGATATCTTTCGATAAAGTGCTTTACAAGCACGACATTATGGGTAGCCGAGCTCACGCTTCCATGCTCGCTAAGCAGGTATCACTTACTCCTTCCATTTCTGAAAAAATAAAAACACATTAACTCAAATCTGTAATAGATGAACGAAGAACACAACAGTGAAACACTTTGTATCGCCTAGAATACTGAAATTCCTTAATAACGTTCTGATTGATGGAAACCCCCAATTTCAATCAAAATCTATTTGTTATTCGTAGCTCTAACATAAGCACATAATGTAGGGATTAATTAGTTTCAGCGACAGGGATAGCATTCTTGAAGGTCTGGACCAGATACAGGAACGAATTGAAAGGGGGGAGTTTGAGTGGAGAACTGACAGAGAAGATGTACACATGAACATTGAAGCAGCCCTTACTGATTTGATTGGTGAACCTGCCAAGAAACTGCATACAGCCAGGAGTCGAAATGATCAAGTTTCAACTGATTTTCGCTTGTGGTGTCGTGATGCCATTGACATGATTGTTGCACGCATTAAACATTTTCAGGTTGCTACTTGACTACTCCCCTGATATGGCATAAAGTAACTGTTGTGATGTCAAAACAGACAAAAGTTATAATTTTTTGTCCCATCCAAAAAGATGGAACAAGGTTTCACTCTCGATCTCTCATCCATGCAAAAGACATAAATGCCCTCCTCTTCCTCGTCATCAAAAATATCCCAGAAATGACTAATAAGTATTTGGTTAATCACTACAGATTGCAATGGTAAAGTTGGCTAAGACGAATGAGGGAGTGATTGTCCCTGGTTATACACATTTGCAAAGGGCACAACCAGTTCTACTTCAACATCATCTCTTAGCATATGTTGAACAGGTTTCATATTCTTTATGTAACTTTTATCATCTTGCATAAACAAACTTAACCATGGTTAAACTTAAACATTTAACACCTTGTTGTATTTGTGTAGCTTGATCGTGATGCTGGACGTCTGTTAGACTGCAGAGTTAGGCTAAATTTCTGCCCATTAGGAGCATGTGCATTAGCTGGCACTGGTCTTCCCATAGACAGATTCATGACCTCTGATGCTCTAGGATTCACTGCTCCAATGAGGAACAGGTATGTCTGTTTATGAATATGAATTCCATATTATTTATTATTCATAATAATACCAATGTGTACTTAAATTTGTTTGTTTGTTTTAAAACATAAAACAAACAGTATGGATGCAGTTTCAGATCGTGATTTTGTTTTGGAGCTTCTTTCTGCTAACGCGATCATAGCAATGCATTTATCTCGACTTGGTGAAGAATGGGTGTTATGGGCATCTGAGGAATTTGGGTTCA